TAAGAAAGAAAGAAAGAAAGAAAGAAAGAAAGAAAGAAAGAAAGAAAGAAAGAAAGAAAGAAAAAACTTCTACAAGGTAACATGGGAAAAATGTTTGTTACCTTCAATAGACAAAAAGTTCATAACAGAAAAAGCACAAGTCACCTCCCCCCAAATAAGGCAAAACAATATGTAGAAAATTAAAAACAACAATGGTTAAGAAAACACTATTAAGAAAGTTAACAGGGGCTGGCAAGATGGCTCAACAGGTTGAGACACTAGCTGCCAAGTCTGACATCCTGAGAGGTACAGGACTCTGCATGGTGGGAGGGGAAAACTGATTCCTCTAATTCCTGTGCTGCCCTATCTATACCTACAAATGGTTGTAGTAGCACATGTGCCCACATACATACATACACACACAAGTAAATAAATATAGATGCAATTTTAAAACTTTTAAATAGAAATTAAAAGGCAAGTCATGAACTCGAGATTATATCTGGAAAATATGTATTTCACAAAAGACTGGCATCAGAATGAATAGGGTATTTATATAGCTAAATAACCCATAAACCTCAATTAAAAATGGGAAAAAGAATTAACAAAACACTTCACTGCAAAAGATATATGAGTATTAAATAAGTACAAGCAAAGTTTCGCCACATTATTTTTCAGTAAAGAAATTCAAATGAGATTCCACAAAAACTACTGAAACAGGAAATGCAAACGAGATTCCACTAACCGCCACTGAAGTAGCCAGCAGAAGAAAAATTGGGCTGTAAAGAAACAGAACCTGAACTCCCTCAGCATAGCACAAACACATGCAGTTATGCGTTCTTGTTATGTGTAAGTCCAAGTTCCAGCAGTATGAAAACAGAACATGAGACAGACACTGAACACCTATATGCATGCCCAATAGAAAGCTTACATTCTGTGGGCTGAGGAGATGACTTACTGAGTAAAGGGCTTGCTCTACAATGTGAAGCCCTGAGTTCGAGTCCCTCAGTCCCTGTAAAGGAGGATGCAGTGCACACATGTGTAATCCTGGTGTTCCTACAGTGAGGTTTGAGGTGGAAACAGGAAAATCCTCAGAAGCTCATGGGTATACACAGCTGCGAACAATGAGTGGTCCTAAGACAAGGTGGAAGATGACCCAAAACATGGAGCTGTCCTCTGACTTCTACAAGTGTGCCATGGCACACACACACACACACACACACACACACACACAAGATTCTTTCTCTAAAGGAAGTTTGTTCTGTAGGCCCTAAGAAGACTGAGTAAGGAGAAACTGATGCCTGCTTTGTGAAGGTCATCTCTATGGCAGTAGAGAGACATAGTGCAAACATGCATTTGGGTCACTGGATAGTACTAGGCATCATATAATATCAGTGCTGCTCCTGGAGAACCTTGCTAAACACTGATTCTGATCCAGTTAAGTCAGGGCTGGTATTTAGGAGTATATATTTTAATATTTGTGGCCTATAAATAACACCTTGGAAGAAGAGAAAGCACTGGAAATATAAACACCCCTATAAGAGGGCTCTGGGAAATGTCTGTAGGAAGTGCGCAATCAAATGTAGAAAGGATGTTTACTGGAAAATGGAACTGTGTGGAGGTAACGAAAGAATTAGTCTTTGAAATTTTTGAAAAAGTTTAGGTAGAATAAACTGGTGACTAATCCACCGTCTAGATGTCATTGAATGTGCTCCAGAGATTCGCATTCTGAGCTGCTGAATAGCAATGATATCACCAAGTGCAAGATCTAAGAATACTTTTGTAGCGACACAACACAACAACAAAAACACCTTGAATGCGACTGGAACTTTTAATCTGAAAAGGCTTTCAGTGGAAACACTCACTATAGATGATTCAGAACATGCAATGATGGATTTAGATACTCAGGCATAGAGTAGGGGGAGAATGTTGGAGCATCAATAGAGAAAATGTGATTTGAGGAAAGTAGTTTAAGGCTCTTGGGTTCCATTTACCATATCTGGTATGAACAGGGAATGAGGGTAAAAAAGAAATTGTAAATATGTCAATCAAAAAAGAGGAAAAGAAATAAAAGAGGGCACTAAAGTTTACAATGAGCTTCACTAGGATTTTCACATTTTTCCCCCACCTTTGTATAAATTGGGTAAATGGGCAGATAATTTATTCAAGGTCAAATACATAATACATGTGCCCAGACTGTCAGGTAACCTCCTGGCTGCTCAATATAATTTCCTTTAAGGAATGTTGAAAACATCACTATATTATTGGCAGAATATAAAAATCTTTCTTTTTGTAATAAATAAAGCATATCAAACATAAAATAATGGGTTTTTTTCTGCTGACTACAGGACTATTAAAATAGTAGTTATCTATTTTATCTACTTATGCTATAAGTTACTTCATCAGTTAAATCTGGTCAGTATTGCCTTGAATTTGCTTTCTATGGGAATGAGATTATAAATAGAACAGATTTTGCTGAATTTGTTGTGATCTCTAATGAAAAGGAGTGGTGTACAATGAATATATCCTAACTACGCTTCTTTTACTAATATCCCCAAAACTAGTAAATTTTCTTCGGGCATTCCCTAGAGGAGTAATTTTTAGTAGTTTTAAACTTTAAGATGATTCTGTGTTTTACTTTGAAGAATAGTTGTAGGGAAATATGAATTTCAAAAATGCTGTAAGGGTAAAAGTATTTCACTTGAAAGGTAGCATTTTTCTCTCATTATTTTGTTATCAAGCAAATGAAATAGGACATCCTTAGGTTCTGAGTTTATTCTTTTATTTTTACTTGACCTGGCCTTATTACAATATTTAGACTGCCTTTCTTCTTTCATTTAGTTCAGTGCAAGCTGAGACAAGAAAACAAAAAAGGTCAGGAGGCAAGATCACACCCATCCCATGTTTCTTTCATTTAATGGCATCTAATTTCAAGAACAGCAATATGCCAATACAATCGAATTAAGTGACTTAATAATTCCTGAAACTAATGTTTTTGTCATTAAACATCCAGTGTCTAGTCATCAAATGTACTAAGTAATGCTTGTCAAGAAAACTAAGATATTTTTCCTAGTTACATGGAGTTTTCAATTGAATATTTAGTGTTATCTAATCAAATGTGACCCTGTGTGTGAAAGACGTCAAAGATTCAGAAAGATTCTTCCAAGGATATAGATAAATTTGTACATTTAAACAGAAAGTCAAAGATCATCTCTTATTGTATATGTGTAAGAATTTATTGCCTTGTCGTAATTATCTAAAGAAAGTTCTGGGTTGTAAAATTACAAAAATCTGTTGCATTATCTTCCTTGACTTTGATGGTAAATCACCTCAAATGAGATTCATAAATGTTGTGAAGTCCTTTGTGTACATACTTTGGGAAGAAAGCGAGTGCAAGTGTTGCAGCATATTTCAGCTGGGTGTGAGCAGACATCCCTCTACAGAGTAACTATACAGAATTACGGAAACTAGAGCTGTAGTAGCAGGAATTCAAAGAAGCCAAGATGCTTTTTTCTAAAAATAAACCCAATGAATTGATTGAAACTAACAAGAAAGAGTTTAGTGAGGCTGAATGGGAGTAAATATACATTTTTAACATTTACGTTCACGTTGATGGAAACATTCAGGCAGTAAGATGTAAATAGCACGTTCCTCCATTCTCTTCTACCCACACTGACTGGTCTGAGTACAGTCTAGCTTATTTTTCTGTTAGTGTTTGTCCTGCATCTTCCAACCTCTTTTTAACTCATCACATGCATCAATGCACACTTATTGTTCCTTTCCAGAATAAGCCAAGTTCTCATTTTGTGTCCTTAATTTATTCTAAAATATTTTCCACTCTTTAATGATTATATATTCAGTTTTCACATTTATTATTTTTTGTCCTACTTTAAAGCAGTTTCAACATGACTGATACCTTTGAGCAATATTGAAAGAAGCCAATAAGTTTTAGCAGTAAAAACAGTTCCATGGGCATCTGTAGGAGGAGCACTTAATTATGAGACCTAACAGATGTTCAAAGCATGTGGGGATATGGATTTAGTAAAGGACACAAACATCTAAACCGATGACAAGTCATGGCTGGTATGGAATAAGAAAAGCTTTTGAGCTTGTTCCACAACTTAGAACCTACTTTGCTTGTGCTGGTAATAAGCAGCATGTGCTAAAACACAGTTTAAGATTTTTAAACTTTTAAACTTATCTGTTAATGAAGAAGTCACCATCAAATTCTTTTCCAGCTCTACAATGTTCGGATCTATTTTAAAGAAGTAAATATGTTGTGTTGAAGAGATGGCTCAGCAGTTAAGAACACTGCTTGTTTTTGCAGAAGACCCAGGTTTGAAGCCCAGCACCCACATGGCACCTAACAACTGTCCATAACTCGAGTGCCAGGGGATCCAACAGCCTCTTCTGACCTCTGCGGGTATTGCATGACACAGGCACACTTACCTACATGCAAGCAATACATGCACAAACACAAAATAAAAATAATAAGTAAAATGTTTTTAAAAAAGAAGTAACGATGCAGATATAACAAATGTTATTAGGTACTTATTTTACATAAGGCATAACTGATTTTCTTTAATTAATGACATTCATAACAAAGATGTAGAGAAAATTTATTAGTCATGAGTAAATTTGGTTGGATGTGTTGGATGCATTTAAAAGAGAAACAATTATCTTGAATTACAGTAATGGTTACTCAGCATTATATCCAAGGATGTTGCTGTAAATGGTAATGTTATAAATTGTTATCCCCAAATAACACTCTGGGTTAAGGGCCCCTTCCCAACAGACTATGAATTGTGACCATAAAAACCACATGGGTCTATGTTGACTTATTTCTCTACTGTTGGAAAGCTCTGGTAGGCCACATGCATGTTAAGTTTACTATGATATAGACAATCACTGCATCATTCAATTTACTACATGGTGAAGCTACTAAATGCTTCATTAGGAAATTTTCAAGTGCAGGTAAGGTTCTTTACTGTTGGGAAACTGTCATTACAGTACTTACTAGGTATTTACCACTAGCTTATAAAGCTCTTCCATGCCAAGTTTCACAGTCACCTTGTTAACACTGAGCTTTATTGATATAATTTGGTGAAGGACACAGTTTGGGAGATAAGAAGCAAATGTTTTCATAGGGAAGACTGCCTCCTCATCTTTACTGCAGATCTGTCAATAATGTGAAAGAATTACCAAATATTTTTTTTATTGAATTTTTGTGTATTTCATACATAAAATCATCTTTGTACCCCCTTCCCCTTTGGCACCCTCCCATGGCCTTTAACTTTGCTTAAAATATAGAGCATTGCAGCTTTTCTTCTGAGGTGTGTTTGGAATTGCTTGAAAGTGAAGCCGGTAGATGTTGTTGAAATGATGATCCCCAGTGAAATTCATCTCCAAAGACAAGATGTGGAGTTAAAAAAGAAGAGGCTGAGGAGACAGATGGTGTTTACAGTACATTTAAAACCTTAGCATTAACTTTAAAACAGGAGGACTCCAAACCTTGGCAGCATCCCAAAACCCAACCATTTCTCATTGATTGGTATGAATCATTTTCCCTCCTTGGCGCCTGTGCTTTTCTCACCACACACACCACTAAGTATCAACAAATCTGCAATTGACCTTTTCACAGCTCTATACAGAGATGCCTACTATGGCGTTTCTAATCCTTGTCAATTTCTTTCCAGACAGAGCTCTTTGTACATGCATTCAAGGATCAGCTGGTAAGGAGTGCTCTTTTAGCTCTCTATACTGCAAGACCAGGAGGGATCCTTAAGAAATCAACCTCTCCTAAAGACAGTGCAGAGGAGAGTAGTCCTCAGGACCAGCCACCTCCCATGAGAAGGCAGGACTCTATACCTCATCATTCAGACTATGATGAGGAAGAGTGGGTAAGTTTTTCCACATCATTCACCACTCATGGTTTAGCAAGCATACTAAGAAAGCTCTGCTCTTCATAAAAAATATCGGGAACCAGTTGCACCGCAGAATTTTAAGTCAGATAAATAGGTCACACTTTCCTTAGGGGCAAATTACATTTCAATGTTATATTCCTGAACAAATTTATTTGGTATATATAAATGTATTTGTTAGCAAGTAAATCACATCTACAACCAAAAATATGTCATCAAATCCATGTTATCAAAATTACAAGATTCTAAAAACACATTTCCTTATTCACTGCCAAGCTACATAAAATTTTTAAAAAATTATTTCTCAGAAAACAAGTCAAAAATCATAGCACAACTACTTGGATACAAGTATCTTCATAATTGCTATCTAAAATTTTACTTAAATGCATAGTTTTAAACCAGATTTCTACTCAAAGAAGAATGGACATAAACATATTTTTAATACTACCTGCTGGTGATTCTGTGATTCAATAGATGTTGCTTACAGGGGTTCTAAAGCTTATATGCTGTATGTACATATCCAAATAGCAGAGGGCACTGAACAAAAGACACAAACAAGGTAAGAGGAACTCTAGTAGGAAAGAATAGCATGTGAGACCAGAAGTGTGTGGGGAGGCAGCAAGGACAGTATGTTGCAGTCATCATTCATCTATGAGGCCTCTGAAGTACAACACATTGATAAACACACACATGTACACACACACACACACACACTCAAACATCTTGGAAAACATTTACTGTATTGCATGCTTAACTAAAGGAAGTGTGTGAGCTATCCCAGATGTTAACATTTACTTACCAGTATATTTTCTTGCCAACCTAGAATTTAAGACGGGAAAAGTGTTTGAGAGGCCCAGTTCTCTCTAAAATGTTGTTCTAGGTTTTATGAGATAAAGCCAGATCTTTCTTTTGGAAAAATTTCTATCACAGGAAAGATACCTCTGGGCTTCTAGGACTAAATGCTGAGTGCTGTTGTTGTTCATTAAGATTATATTTCTCCCACTAAAGCATTTTCCAAAGAGCAAATCTAATATTTCTCCCTTTTACCTTTTCCTTCTTTGATTTAGTTAAAGCTCCAAGATGTGAATAACTACCTATAGCTTCTTGTAATACATATTTGGTGCATCTTAAAAAATTACTATTTAGTCCATTTTTAAATATAATCGACTTTTTTCAGGAAAAATATCTTTTTTAATTGCATTTTCCTCCAGCTGTCCTAACTTCAACTTATTTCATTGACAAAAACTGATAATAAGAATTTGGATAATATCTATCAATTTTATTTCATAAAGATTAAAACTAAAATGAGTACTCAGAAAAATTGCCCATTATTTTCTAAATAATTTTAGTTGTTAAGTGATTTAATGCTTTAAAGTTTTATTTTCCTAAAAAGTTGTTAAGTGTTTAAACCCCAAAGGAATATTTGGGATCTTATGACAATCTGTGCCAAGAAATTGGCTAACAGCGTTCTTCATCTTCAACCAGTAAAGATGACGTGTTGCATTTCTTCTTTGACTTTCTAGAATAGATTCTTCCAGCAGCTGGGATCCCACAATTAGTTTGTCCAGAATATGAAAGTATTCCATCCAACCAAACTATTAGGCTTGTCCAAATTTTGTGGCTTCAGTAATTATGCTAGTCTCTACAACACTGTGGTTTAATTCCAACATTACTACACTTAATAGGGTTTGAGGCCAAATCCGTCTATCTCTATTCAAAGAAATTGTTAAAAATATAAACTTATCCTTTAAATTCTGATTCTTTCTGGCAAAGCACACAACTAGGAAAACTATGATTATTGGTAATATCCTAATCCCATTTCAAGTTTAACTATATTTTTATATCAGGCAACATTTCAGCATTCAGACTATCCAATTGATTTCTCTGTTATACACACAAATTAAATGTTAAAGTCTATTATTGGAAGAAGAAGTTTTGGTGTGCTGTTGGCAATAGAGTGATTATAGATAACAGTAATGTACTGTAGCTTTCCAAATGCTAGAAGAAGAAAGGAATTTGAAAGTTTTCACCATGAAGAAAATAACATTGAGGAAATGAGTAAGTTTAGTAGGATTTAAAGATTCTGTAATGTATACATGTATCAAAATTATTACATAGCACTACATCAGTATGTATAAATTTTGCTTATATCTATTAATTATTTGCAAATTTTAAAATAAGTTATAACCTTAAATTCATAAATAAATTCGAAAGCTTCCTAAATTAGGGGACATTTTCTCTACTATTTTATGGTAAGTGTACATATGTTCACATAAGGAAAAGGAGTTTCACATTAATTTACACTAATAATCTTTGGACAAGTTCTTAGCATTATTAAGTCAAACATCCTGTTAGTGAAGTCCATTTGTAATCTGAAAACAAATTGATGCTTTTCTGTAACTAAATGCTACCAAAGATTAGGTTTTGGAATAAGACTTCTATAAACCATTTTCTGATAGAGATCTACAAGAACCATACCATATCTTTGTCTAGTGATGTCCAGAGCAAATACAAATGTTTAAGCTTGACAGGAGTGTCCATAGATATATTTACATTGCCATAGTTAGTAGAAGTAAGCATAGCCACCTGTCAAACACTGCTTACTCTTGCAGGCCAAGCACATTCAGCCAGGTACCTCCATAGGGAGCAGTTGTCCGGATTCTGAGCTTATCTTGCCAGCTACCATGTCTATCTTGTTCCTCACTTCTAGTTGAAAGAAACTGAAACTTTGTGCATTATGCAGGGGTCTTGTTGCAAACTGATATTCAACACAGATTTGTTTCTGTTCTTTGACTGGCTAGAACTATGTTATGTGAAATCACTGGCCTTATGTTAATGAAAAGAAATTAAATCATACTCATTCCTTAGAGGTAATTATTTCTTTTAGCCCCTGTGATAGTAACCTATAATTAAACTTTTTCAAAGATAGTGCCTCATAGCTTAGTTGCTCAAATGAATAATCTATACACTGAAATATGACCACTTATTTCTGGTTTTTGACATAGGGAAGTACATGTGTATATGTGTATGCATATATCCATACATATGTATTCGGTTCCAAATAATTCAGTATAACAATTACTCTTGGATATCATGCACACACAGCCTGTGGAATACTGATTTTATTAAGTTATTGATATTTATGTTTATTTCATTTGTTCATGAATTTGTTGCATGTGGTCAATACAGTAATAGAATACATTAATTAATTTGAAATTGACTTTCAAATTATTTCTCATACTTGACTTCTTATTTTGACAAACAGGGTATTTGAAATTCATATAGTTCTCTATCCAGTACTTCTTCTGTACCAGAATTCATTGAGGTTTCTGAAGATTTTTATTCTCCCTAATAGTCTGAAGTCTTCAGTTGTCTCTTTCAGTCTTTATTACTTGTTTTTAAATGTCTTAACAGCAAATGATTAATCTACCATCTTCTTCTTCTTATGCCCATGCATACTTCCCCATGTTTTAGGACTGTGATGACTATAAGATGGACTGTATAATGAAGCTGCATTAGGGTCGAGTATATGAGAAGTCCCTAGAAATTCACAGTATTTTGTTTTTGTTTTTGTTTTTGTTTTTTTTGTTGTTGTTGTTTTGTTTTGAGATAGGGTCTCCCTGTAGCCCCAGCTGACCTGAAACTGGCTATGTAGATTAGGCTGGTCTAGATCTCAGAAACCAGCCTGCCTCTGCCACCTGAGTGTTGGGATTAAAGGCATGAGTACTGTTACCCAGCAGCAATGGTGGTAATTTTAATTTACCTCAGTATTCATAGGAAGATTGACAAGGGCCTAGCTTCCTTATCTTCCGATAAATGACACAATAGAAGAAATTATTTTTTCATTGTCCCATCTTTGCATTTTGAATTACAGGGATTTGAATGGGGTCTTTCTAAGCAGTTACCCTCAACATCAAAAAAGGGCAGGCAAAAGATAAGAATTCAGTCAATTGTTCCTGGTATGGCAACTGAACATAGTCTGTCATGTGTTTTCTTAGTGGATGAGAAGCGTTCCTGAGATTCTCCAGTTCATTTCACCCAGAGGAAATGTGCTTGGAATGCTTATGCACTGTTAAGGTCTACAAAAGGTGATTAAGCAAAGTTCATGGCTGTCCATTAAAATGCACAAATGTTCTATTAAGGATAAAACCCTAAATGAGAACTTTATGTGAGTGCATATTCACGAAATCCTCCCCAAATTCGCATTTTCCCACATGTAGTTAATGCCTTCACTTTCGGTTCCCCGCCTTATAGCATTTAATACAGGATTTCATACATACTGGTTCAAGGTATTTTTCAGCATTAATGTAGAAAAAGATGATTGGATGGATTGGACAAATCAGCAGCTCATCCTCCTACTCAACATATGTTTTGACAGAGCTGTTCTATTCCTACTAAAGAAGTGATTTCTTTAGCAAGGAATGTGGTACTTGTACACAGATGACATACCGTACTGTGAGAAAGCTATATGTCTGGGCAGGGTCCAATGTGGGGAGAGTGTGGCGAGATCACTACTAGAGAAATAGTGGCTTTCTGAAGTCATTAGTTGTGACCAGGTACTAAATCTCAAGATAAGACCAGGAATATATTTCAAACTTATTGTGGTTATTGGGAAATAGTGATCAAGAATTTTTACATTAGCAAATAAGTAGATCCATTAGCAAAGCAAGAGGAACAACAGGAAGCAAGGCTAGGCAATATGTTTAATGCCATGCAAGTGGGTGCCACGAGTCTGGGTAGTGTAACTAGATACATGTCCACTGATATTCATTTAAGAATTATATAACCTGAGGCTATATGTGCCAGTTATCCAATGGAACATATATGCTACTCATTTTACCTAATGATGTGGATAAAGTTAAGGTTCAGAGAGAAGAGCTGCCAAGCCATTGAAGGATGGAATGTCGCAGTGCTAAAGAGCTTGGCCAGTCTACAGCAATTTGCTCTTCTTTAGCTCAAGCATAAGTTGAAGATGGAAT